CATAACTTTTATCTATGGAACTCGTCTTCTCTTCATTTCCATCTAAATATTCATCATAAAGATCAAGTTCATCTGAGTTACATATTAATTCATTATAAACGAAGCCGAAGACACTCTCATTCCTACCAACACTAGTATATGAACTACAGTAGTCGCCATCGAGTTCATCATTTTCGTAGAATTATATATTTTTAGTTTTAGTCATAAATAAAATATATAGAAATAAGGAGTGATAGTGGTTACGGGTGTGAGAGAGCCTAGTCATTTGTGTGGTTCTCCTCCTCAAGGACTGCCTCACTCATGCAACAAAATCCAGAGTGGCACCCACACACATTACTCTGCCCCACCCATACTCACACCCATGGAGCCTATTTGGGTTGACTCTTTCGTGCAATGGCTCCTAATGGGATCTCAACAGGATACTGTGATGCTCCTGAGTGGTTCTCAGATGATCTCTAATGAATCGAAGTTGACCTCCAGAGAATCCTCAGGGGCCTGCAGCAAAGAAGAAGAAGACTGATAATACACAAAAGATGGTTTTTGAAGCTCATGTGACGTAATATGAAGCTAAATTTCGCTCGACTATGCTATGGAAAATTGAGAAAAATATTCAAAAACGGGGCGATCAATTCTTTACCTTCTCCCCTTAATTGACCACTAAATTACAGCCCTCATATTTCTATCAATGGCCAACAGTAATTGTCGTATAATTTTTCCGTGTTGAGGGGGATTAAGAAGAAGACACTTTTTTGTCATCTATTGGCCGCAAAAAGTCTGGGTGGGCTGAGTCCATCCTAGTGAGAAATCCTGGTGCCGCTACTACCACTGTCGTTTAATCATTTAAGGTCAAACGGTGTTTTTTTACTGAGAACTTTAAGAGTGTGGACAAAATTGGTTATTGTCACACTAAAGGCGTCTGAAGTAAATAACTATATTTAAGATAAAAACTTTGCCGTTTTTGGCCTATTCTTATATAAAATAGTCGAAGGGTAAACAGTGGACTTCAAGACTTCAAACGACTTCATGAAACCTCAGAGAACTTCATGAAACTTCAGGAGACTTCAGCATAACATGTGATGCAAAAGTAATGGGACAAATGTCGATCTCTATTTCTCTTCAATGGAACAATGCTGGGGAAAAACCGTTTTTACTAGAAGACAGAGAATTTTTTTCCACTTTCAAACCATATTTGACTTTGTTTTATCACACGGTCACAAGCACAATGACATAACAGGAAAAACAATTACCATTAAAGTAAATTGGAACTTTTCATGGGACTCATACAGAGGCACCCAGTGTTGATCCGTATATCTTTTTCAATCAGTCGGTAGGACATTTTCCCCTCTTCGGAACAGTTTATTATTCATATTTGCTATACATTCGTAAATAAAATGATGCTGGAAAAAAGAGAAACACTCGGGCAATAAATTTACGATGGTTATATGAACCTGTGAAAAACAATGTAAGATGACTGCTAATTTCTTTTGTGAGGACTCGTTGAAAAGATTTTATAAAACGGAGGCCAACTTGATTTTCATGAACTTATTAAAACAATTTTGTAAAGCGACAGCTAATTTTGACTAACTGTCGCCTAAGACTATGTTTGTGATGAGTTCATATAAAAGGCCACATCAAACAATCAGACGATAAGGTTATAGGAAATCTTATGCCAAGGAATGATCTTCCACAAATCTTGCAGTACGGTTTTAAGCCAAATGCGTGAGACCACGAGTTTTTGCACAACATCATCTTATCTCACAAGACTTTGCATTTGATTTTTTGACCTGGGATCCAAAGTTCCTTGTGCTAGTATTCTGTTTTCTAGCCTTATTTAACACTTTCTCGACAAATATAAGTCATATACTGTTTCACTGAGGACAACTTTTCGTATCGACTGACGAAAAAATACTTCGTTTAGAACAGGTTTATCGAAGAGATATAGGGATTCATATGTTGTGCTGTAGTTTATAGGAAAAATTTGGACTTATTTTGATTTGCTTCACTTTGTTGTTACACTTTCGTCTATGGACGTACAACAAAAATAAGTTATGCACGATTCAAAAGACAAAAAAAGTTCTTTATCTTTTTGAAAACAAAGATTGTCTTCCGGTGCCCTTCAATTTCAGAGTGATAGGAGTCGACATTTATCCCATTACTTTTGCATCAGATGTTATATCACAAGTTACAGCTCAAAGATTGCATCAGACTTCATGAAACATCATGACATTTTATGGGTCTTCACGAGACTTCAGAGATTTTATCAGACTTCAAGACTGTAGCGTCAGTTATTTACTCCTCGAGAATAGTTTCGATTCAAAATATAATTATGAATCAGATAAAAAGTTTGGCTTTTTGGCTGTTATCTGAGTTTAGTGTTGTTTTGCATTTATTTTTGAAGTTGCTATGTGTTCTAAGATCTTCATTGTTATCCAAACGTGAATTACGCAACTAAGGAAGTTAATGTGCAGCATTTAATGTATAATTTGTACAAGAATATTCTATACACTTCAAAATTAGACATACGTTCACGTATTTCTATATTTCAGACTAAGTACATCGTTATGAAAATGAAAGATCAATATAGACGCTAAGATGCTTGCTGATATATGAATATTTGTTCTTTGATATTCCGCACAACAACTAGTGAACTATATTTTAGAATTATTCGTTATCAAAACAATTCATTAAGATCATGAACACAAGGAAGCTTCACTACGCCTTCTAAGCAGCTCATAAGAGAATTATCATAATGTTTTTGAACGCATGGCAATAGTGGAATTCGCTATATACGCTCCATTTGTATTTATTTCAATAACATAACTTGCAGAACTTGTTACAACAAATACATCCAAAGCGAGAAACGCATTCAAGTGCATAAGACGTTCTAAAGAGTAGTGATGAACTCCTTTCAAGGGCGTAACTGAAAGCTGAGAGCACCAGAAATGTATACGACATGTGATTGTGATGGCATGTCTTTCACAGGCAACATTTCACTGCATTCAACTTAAAGATTGTCTGCAGTTATGAACGCAGTTAAATGGAAAAACGAATAGATTTACCATCAACCGCATTTTATAGGTAACTACGTAGAACTTGTTTAGATACGTCTTTTTAAAGTAACTCTTTTGAATAGAGGCAGAGTGTGTGAAATCCATTCTCAAAAAATTGCTATAAACGCACTTTGGGAGTTTGAAGTCTATTTAAATATGAGTTACACTTCAATGCTGTTACTTGTCACAAAGAGGCGTTTAGACGCGTCTCAAATTCGTTTCATGATTACATGAATATTATGAGACTTATTGAACGAATTCACCAATCGTAATCATCTAATAGCGTCATGAATAACAGAAACAGTTCATTCGAATTGTTAAGACGAGTCAAGTAGTCCATGAGTAAAATCTCGACTTGATATAGAATTGCAATGGATAACCAATTTTATTAGTCAGTTGAGAGATGAAAAGCTACTGTCATCTTATAAGAAGCATATTAGCGGATGGTGCAATTAAACAGGGAAACAGACTCAAATCATAACTACAAAACTAATTATTGGTAAACACAGCAGTTAGAATATAACGCTGAAATAGAACGTCGACGTCCTTCACCATATATCCTCAGCGATAAAATTCAATGGTCGTGCCGAAAATTACACAAACAACTACTTGTAATTCATTGTTTGATTCATGAAACTGATATCAACATTGTTTATCTTCTAATTTTATGCATTCCAGTGTTTTCTTATTTGTTGTTGTTATAAAATCTAATCAAAAGCAGCCATGTTTCACAATAAGCCGAATAATTTGCTTAATTTCCGTCACACATATACTTCGTGACACATTAAATAAAATTTTTACTCGTCATAATAATTGTGCAATCATTTAAACACATACAAAAGTCAAAATTGTTTCATGATTGTCTTCACGAATGTGAAATTGAGATAAGGGTTCATAGACTCACACTCACTATTACAGACATTGCTCGCCAACACATGCTCATTCCAGATTAATATCAATCTATTTCACACAATCCGAACTGCAGGCGCCTTCATCTACAAATTTACACACCAGCACCTCGCACGAACCAACAGCTCCCACATCACACATATGTACTGACCAATTTTTGACTCACACCAACAAATCCTCGTGCTAACCACACACGCATACTTCCGTTTCTCACAAACTTGCAGCAAGCCATACACAAGTACACACCCATTTCGAGCAATCACCGACGTAGTGTCAACTACATCCAAAGCCATGTACGTCTACGTTGTCCACTCCTACATGATGAATCCAGACAGTCAGAGGACGTTTACAAAAAATGCATTTTTGTAGGTAAGAATGCATAGTTTTTAAGTTTGCAAAAACAGTGTTTTTGAAAAGGAAAGCAAGCCTGAGCTTGATGGTCCCACAAATTAGCTTGTCACAAAATAAAAATCTTGCTTTTATCATTTACCAAATGTCGAAAGTATCACATTTTAATGCGTCAAAACGTGATAGAAAATGCTGTTAACTACTTGAGCAGACTCCCATCATATTAGCCCAATCCAAACATCACATCCAAGCAATAGCATCCACTCACCTTCACTCACCTCTTCCGCCCGCATAGTAACATTCGAGTCGAGATCTGAAACTCACATCCACATACCTACATACGAAACACATGCTTGCATTTCATATCTACACAGCGATATACCAATACCCATATGCACAATCACATGAACAAACCAACACGCACAACCACACCTGCAGTATCCACATCCTATACTACACGCTCACACTCTGAAATATGTTTGCAGATGAATTCTGAACAGTTATACTGGCAAAGCAGAAATTATATCGATATATTTAGGTTGAGGAGAGCATGCTTTAAGCTATAGAATGCTTGATAACACGTTGTTACAACTCATCGGATTATATGTTTAAAACAAGAAAAGCCTCTTTAAATCAAGTTTCTTGTGCATCTTGAGGGAAAATAATTGAATGCGGACCTAATTACACTTGCATCTAATAATGTGATATATAAGTTTGTACTTTAAATGTTGGCAGTTGCTCAAGATCAGTCACTTGGTTTCCTTGATATGCTAATGGTGGATCCATCCAAAATGATTGAAGTGTTGATGATAAATTAACTAGGAAGTTTTGGGTTAAATCGACTCCGATCAAATCATTTTTTTGTGCTTGGATTTGATGAACTAATGCTTGTGCTGAGCATAATGTTAATAAATAGGCATGAGCACATCGTGATGGATTCGATTTATGGGTTGACAGAAGTGGTGGAGCATTCGAAAAATATTTTTGGAAACATTTACCATGATAGTTGAAACATGTTCCGATAACAATCATTGGACTCTGATTTATCCATTCATCATCTGATATCCTGTGTTCTTTTGATTCAGCACATGTTTCATTGATACGTAATGCTCTACTTTCAATAGCTGCATAAATCATTCGAGTAAATTTTTCTTTAAAGAATGGAACAAATATAACATCGTCCTCAAGAATTAAACTTAATTGAATTTTTTGTTCAGCCAATTCATACCAAAGATCGATATGTTCCATTACTACGGGACAGCGTCTTTGCTGTTCATGGTCTGAAATATAAAGTTAATAAGAAGTTCTCAAATATGGTGGAGGCAAACGAGAAGTAGCAGAAAGCTAACAGAAAAATACTTAATAAATGAAAACTAATAAAACTTCGCATAATGTCGATGATGGCGTTTCTCTTAGAAATAGACTAATTAGGGTGTATCTCTGAAACTCAAACCCGAATTCACAAATTTCTTTTTTCAACTAAGAAATTTTTCTATTAAGGAAAACGCAATAGGAACGTCTCTCTCTCAACTAAAAGCAGTATTTCGCCTAACAGAGAATAAACAAAAAGTGCTTTTCTTTCAATGTAACAGTAAACATCATGCATTTGATTGTTTATCAAATGTAATTCTCAATTCTGAAGAGATGAGTATGCGGAACGGAATTTGCTGGTCGGTTTGTCCGCGCTCTGATTGGTCGAAAAATGAGACCACGTTTCTCAGTCACAAAAGCAATATTTCGAGGTTCTATCACAACATCCAATAGGTTTTCGGAGTCAAGGAATCCGAATTTGAACCCCATTTTCCTCGAAACTCTATTGCTAGACCAGGAACCAATACATATCAAGGTTTTGAAAAAATTGCTCTTCATGGGTAATTCAACGCGGGAGGCTCGCATCTGTGCCCTATTTTCTTTGAAACGCTATTGGTGGGCCAGGAACCAATAGAAATCAAGTGTCTCGAAAAGAGACTTCATGGGGGTAAATTGGGGTGAGAAGGGCGAACCAGAGCGTCATTTGCCTGAAAGTTCCATCGAAAATTCACAAATCAATAGATACCAAGTGCTGACAAGAAAGTTCTGTCAAAGGTATTCAGGGAAGAATGCTTTCATAAGTTGTCTGTGTGGCTTGAAACACTTTTTCCAAGCCTGAAAGAATGAAGCTTCGTGTGCTGTCGTGTGTGTCGACCCTTTTGAACGGTTGAATGAAACCGACCGATGAGATTTCTGTGTGACTCAAAGTCAAAAAATCGTAGGTGTTTGGTATTCAGTGCTCAGCTAATCATAGATTTTTGCTAACTGACTCTCAACCATTAGAGTTTCTGAATGCTGAGAGCCCAGCCAATTAGGGTGTGTGTATGAGTAGACAGTTACTGTGCACTTGTGGGTGTGAATTTGGTGTGGGTATGGTTGCAGGTAGGATATTCTTGTGGGTCGAGTGTGAATGGTGGGTTGTGAGTATGGATGGAGTGTGAACTTTGGTGTGTGGATATGGAAATAGATTGGACGTGTGCGCGTGGATGTGGAATGTATGCATGGGTGGAAAGCAGATTTGGATTTGGGTGGATGTCAGTAGGGTGTGATCATGAGTGAGATGAGAGTGGTAATTGGTAACGGTGGATGTGGATGTGGTCGGGTGTGAGTTGAGTGTGACTGTGGGATGCTGGTGAAGTTTTGTTCTGGATCTGGGTCTGAGTGTGTCTGTGGGCCTGGATATATTCGATGCTGATGTAGGTAGCAGTGGAGTATAGATGTTGTTGTGTAGACAAGAATATGGTTCAGTGTAGATGTACAATGTGGGTACGTATGTGGGTGGTTTTGGTGTGTGGGCTGGGTGTGCGAGTAGTTATGGGATATCTTTGTAGATGGAGAGCCTGTGCAAGTTTATTGGTGTGGATTTGTGGGTATGGATGTGGTTGGATCTGAATCTGTGTCTTGGTGCGGATGTTTCTGTTGGCATTGCTGTTCTATGGGTGGGTAGTGTTGGAAAATGGATGTGAATATAGGTGGTTGTGGCTTGGCTCGGAATGTAGGATGTAGGTACAAGGATGTAAGTGTTGATGTGAACGTGAGATGCGATTGTGATGGGTGTAGTAGAATGGAATAAGTCCTACAGCCCCCATCGAAATCTTGACCCGAGCTCAAAATAAAACGTACTGTACGAATAACACTATAGCGATATTGATAGAACAAACTTTCACTACTAGTTAGTTCAGCAGTGAAGAGTTACAAAATTTCGAGTTTTCATGCATTGAGCACCAGTTTTTGAATGGAAGCCGATATTTCCACGTTAAAAGCAGTGCAATTTTTGTATTTTATTTAAGGGGCGCGAATTTCAACATTTAAAGTGAGTAGTTGCGGAAGCTTTCTGTGTGCATCAATACACTATCATTCGTAGAGTTTGATTCAACTTCTTATTATTCTTTTTGATAACTACTAAAAATTATTCGTGAAATGCTTTATATGTAATATGGTTGCTTGACAATGCATGAAATTTCTGCAGTCAGCCTTAAAATATAACTTGACAGATGTAGTTTTTACGTACGACTATGAAAAAAGCTTTAGGTAAGCTCCTAGAAGAAACCAAAAAGCCAGCCTATTTGAGTGGATCTAGGCGAACATATTTCAACCTTTTCTCATAGTACCATTTTCTATCCTATCCTTTAGAACTAAAACATGTGTCTTTCGGTCTTTCAAGTTATAGAATGTTACCGAAACATAAAATATTTCAGATCTGGAAGGAAGTCTTGTTCAGGATTTTTCGAATAACAATGTGCTACATAATCATATTGTCACACACTTTTACCAACCAAATCTAGTGAAATCTGTCCCAATATGGATGTAAATACATGTATTTTACAGGTAAAAGCATGATAAGCTATGGACTCTCAGAAAAGTAATAGATTTCAATGTTACCTGCTGATTATGTTCGCATAAAAAGATTCCTGGCTTTTACTTTAATGCCATTTAAGAATATATTTAAGAAAATGAGGCTCAACGTTCTGTGCTATCGTTTCTTGGTTTCAAAATTGATCTAAGCGAGGCTCAAGGAGTAGACACGTTACTTTTTTGTTTAACGATATATATTCAATTACCTAAAGGTTTATCTTTCAAGTTTAATTGTTTATAAACATACGAATGACTTGAGTTCGAATTGCATGTTGTTGAATTCCATTTCATTCTCCACTCTATTGATTCAACTGAAATGCCTTGTTGAACAAGCGCTTTTTTCAAGTTATCATGACGCTTAGTCAAGCGTGGATTGGTGATAACAAAAACCTTATCAACAAACGGAAGCCTTGACACAACAAATGGAGAAATTTCGACATGACAAGGTAAAGTATTATTTTGGAGTCGATTTTTTTCAAGAGGAAGTGGCCAGATTTTCCATTGATCACCAGCTCTTGCTTGCCCAAGATCACTTTTTGAATAATAGTCATATGCTATAGCATTATGATGATAAATTTGGGTACTATAAAATGTCAAATTCAATAATAGCTTGCTACGCGGAAACGCCGATGAGCGATTGCTGCAAATCTTCTTTATACGTAATTCATTAGATGTTGGGATAAGCGAACGAAGTGGAAAAGATGATAATGCTGCAAAAAAGTAAAAGTGATAGGTAAATAACTGACTAGATGCAAAAATAAAAGTGTGTCGAATGAGAAAACCAATAGTATTACTATACTTACAATATTGGTGGAAAAAGCAGTATAATGTTAGAGAAAGAGCAATAAGTATCGTAAAAAATACGTGTGTGATTTTCACTGTGGCCTTTCTTTGATGAGCCAATAAAACCATTGAAGCAAATGAGAGAAATTATTTCACTTGTTAATAGTAGTCAAACAAAAGATGTCAAAATATTTCCTTGAATATCTAAAGGTACATTACCTAAAACAAGTCCAGATCCAAACTTTCATCACAAGATCAAAAAAGAACGTTCAGAGCGATATTCACCTAAGATTTTTCATACGATCCAAAAAGATCATACCCTGTAACTGTAAGACTCAAGTGGCTATCGTGCAAGAGTCGTAAAATGCGAGACGTATGATGATAGCTAGTACAACATGAGTCTGGTCGAATAAGATTGCATTAGTTTCATAATTTTATGAAGCAGAAAGTCATATAACACGGATTCTACACAATTATGCCAGATCAGGTTTCAAAATTCGCCCCCCAACCGTATATTCATGAGAAACATTGGATGAGAATCATGACCAAAGTTGCTCAATCAGCCTCCTCGACTTACCTTGCATTTTTAAACTGCACCAATTAATTTAGGTTTAGAAAAAATAGAAATTTTCAGCTCGAACAGATAATTGGTTGCAGAAATAGAGACATTGCAAGTAAAGCTACTCGCGAGGGAGGGTCTCGAGCTCTGTAATCGCTTTGTGACCGAGTATAGGCTCTAACGATAGATCTTAATGAACTATCAAATAGTATACAACGCAAGGGGGAAACAGCGGACTTCAAGATTTCAAGACTTCAAGAGACTTCAACGGACTTCAGCCGCAGTGACTTCATATTTTCACAAGACTTCAAAAGACTTCATAGGACTTCAGAAGACTTCTGAAGACTTCATTGGATTTCAAAAGACTTCATGAGACTTCACAGACTTCACGGACTTCATAAGACTTCATAAAACTTCACAAGACTTCTACAGACTTCCCAAAACTTCATCGGACTTCACAACACTTCGTAAGATTTCAAAAGACTTCACAAGACTTCAAGAGGCAGATTCCATGCGTATCAAAAAAAACTTATAGAAATTAAATGAAACCTTTATAACATGCAAAAAAGCTTATCATTAAGTAAGGGTGTCATTTACCATGTATTTTATAATAAATACAAATTACTTATCACTTAATTTACGCGTAAATTAAATGATAAGTAAATATTATAAACTGACACTCTCATTCATAACGGAGTAACTAGCGTCTTCCGAGCACTGGGAACAGAATGATATTGAAAATTAATTGCTGCCAAAAGACTTTTTTTTATATGCAAATATTCTCGAAACAATGCTCATTCAACCGAAAAATGTTGAAGTTAGGGGTGTCAATTTATATTTACTTTTCATTTAATTTACACGTAAATTAAATGAAAAGTAAATATAAATTGACACCCCTATCATATAGAGATTACAAAAAGGTTTCTTGTTTCGGAGAATTGTTTCTCGCAACATATCTATATCTAGAATATTTTACGATGACACGAGTAATGTTGAATATATGATTGTACGTATCGCAGACATTTTAAGTGCTTGAGATTACACTCACACCCTATACACAAGCAAACGGCTTGTTGGTTATTGACCGACAAAGTTAGCCGTTTATCGGCTGATAGATTATCACGAGTGGTAGAAACAAACAAAAAGGATTGAAAATCTTCATCAGATTGATTTGGATAGATGGAAAATTTCTTATAAAAATAAACCACTTCATTCAAAAAGCATTCACTTATTAATTATCATGTTTTCTAAGATCAAACAAGCTTGAATTTTTTCCAGTGCATTAAAAAAAACAAGAAAAAGTTCACTTTTCTACTAAAATAAGACCGTCGAAAACAAGACAATTTCATTGGTTTCTTCTGAATTTTCATGCACGAAATGTATTTCAAAGCTTCCAGAAGACTTCAAGAGACTTCATCAGACTTCAAGAGATTTCATCAGACTTCAAGAGACTTCATCAAACTTTATGAGACTTTAGAGACTTCAAGAGACTTTATGAGGATTCATAATACTTCAAGAGACTTCAGAAGACTTCGAAAGACTTCATGAGACTTCAGTCGTAAAATCTCCGCTGTTTTCCCCTTGCTTTCTAGACACCCTGTCTATACTTTTGTTCTCTTCTCGATGAGATAATAGAATGAAAAAAATCACTGAGATCTAGGGCAAGAAGAAGTGCTATTAGTGAAAGACCCACTTGTTGTCGTCGTGGCTGTTGTTGTCGTCGCTGATGTTGTCGTTGCTGATGTTGACGTTGTTGATGTTGTCGTGGTTGTTGTCGTTGTCGATGTTGTCGACGTTGTTGTCGTTGTTGTCGTTGTTGATGTTGTCGTGCTTGTTGTCGTTGTCGACGTTGTTGTCGTTGTTGTCGTTGTTGTTGATGTTGTTGATGTTGTGGCTGGGAAGTAAATGCGAAATAGAATGCTTTTGGTACAGTAATAAAACTCACATGTCGTGGTTGTTGTAGTGCCTTTCGAGTCAAGAAGAACAATGAGCAAAGCAGCAATACCAGCAAGGAGCATCACTAGTGCAAGAATGCAACAAGCACAACAACATTGGTTACAGCAACAAGGCCACCAAGCGCCCAATCTCCGACGACGACGTCGTCGTTTCTTTTCCTTCTCCTTTTCGTCGACTTTTTCTTCCCTGTTCCACGATTGAAAGAAATTTCTTCTATAAAAAAGTTGCTTCCATATGTGTTTTCCGTGTTCTTTTGTTGATAGTGTTGTCTTTAAAGGTACGATCGAATTCGGTCTGAATAAACTGGATGTTGCTCCTAAATTGCTGGTTGAATCAAACGGTGCACTCAAGGACGATGATGCTGTCTGCTTATTCAAGATATCAATAATAGATGAAGATAAATAGCTATGAGGCAAAATCTACCTTGGGTGAAGGAATACATATGATGCTTGTCGGTGTTATCGCTCTCGAATACGCATCAACGTCGTTGTTTTGATGTGGTGATTCACGTTTCATGATTCGAATAGCTACTGATTTATCATAAGGAGATGAAATTGTCTCTGATGTTGCATTAGTTGCCATATCTTCAGCAATGAGAGTTTTTGGTATGTCCTACATATGAAGTAATAAAGCGCATAGATAGTGATCAATGTGAAATAATGTTTCTTTCTCACGAAAGAATTTTCATCGACTTCATTGGCAACTTGATATGTTTGGTTTGTATTCTGGCTTTCATCGTAGTGAAAAGCATTGTGCAATAAAATCTCCTAGAAAAGACAATCATCATGTTCAACGAAAATGTCTTTGAACTTTACAATTCGTCTATTTAGTTTCTTCCGAGAATATACGTCTACGAATAACTAGAGGTGAACAAACGTAAGACTCGAGATATACAGGCCACTGTGAAGTAGTTGGAAGAAAAACTTCAAATCCAAGATCAAGCGATTCTATTCAAAGCAAAGCGGAAACTATTGAGTCCAGATTTTATAACTATCGAAACGATGTCAACGGTCTTTTTAAAAAACATTCTGTAACTATTCTTATTTCTTCATGAGTCGATGGGTATACCTATTCCGATTGAGTACTGCTCTTAGTTTGTCGTCACAGTAAAACAGTTGGATAATGAGTTGAAATCGCAATTGGGTATGCCTACGAAGCAGCGTAATGTGTAATCACCGAAATCAAAATGACATTATTATGATCGTGTCTTCACAGGCACAATCGACAATTGATCTGATGTTTCTTGTGAAAATATACGCTTCCAACTTTTTCTTTTCTGTTTAACCCTTTATCCCCAATGGCTACTGGATTAGCCATTTGTAAATCGACTTTCAAAACTAATCAATGCATAGAATTTCAATATTTGAAAAAACAATTTTGTAGCAAGCTTCATCGGCTATCTGTTGCGTAAAAGAGTATTTCATGCGATATTTTCGTCTACAAAATATGCGGCTTACAAAATCCATAATTTAGAAAAAAAATGGAAAAAGCGAACTTTTTAAAAGAAAGGATTCTTTACCTACAGGTACCAGAGATCTTTGCGAGTTTTGGTGTGACACGGATTGATAAAACGGTGTACTAGTGAGTTAGATATGGTTCGAAAGTTTTGCTATAGTTCAGAGAATTACAGACAATAAGACCGTTGATGGATCATGTATCTAGGGATGCAACGGTGACGATCATTCACCGGTATAGCGTCACCGTTTCACCGGTTCAACTACGGTAACCGGTTCAAGCCGGTTTTCACGAAGGAAACGACTTTTTGACAAAATAACGATTTTTTTGTAAAGGTTGACGTAAGTAAAACGGAGTCGGAGAATCCACATCCGAAATCAGTTTTTGATAATTGTATACGAATTGTTTTGTCACGTCGGGATAGGCTGTCCTAGAAAAGAAGGTAAGGACAGACAATAATATGATATCGAGGGACTGATTGCAGATTTGGGCTGCTGCAATCATATCACTTTTGGTGGAACGTTACAAGAAATTACTCCTTGGGGAAAACAGAATTTCTTTTACTAAACAACGAAACGAAGCAATTACCGGGTAACTTGGAAAATAATACTATTT